ATTCCACATCAGCTTCATGATCTGCGCTGACTGACGTGCCGACATTCCGGCTGCGACTTTGTTGGATAAGGTTGGGCTGTTCATAACTCCAGTACGCCCCGACGCCACACCCCTCCCCCTCCGGAATTGGTATACCTATCAAGTCCATTATCGGACCATTCGTTGTTCTTACAGGTGACGTCGTTGGAAAAGGCAAGTAGGTCTTCTCCGCATGGCTGTTTGCGGTATTCTCGGTCATCGCCAAACGCCACAACCCTACGATACGGGCTGTCCTCCGTTCATCTGGCCATGGACTTTGCCTTCAACTCGCTCTTCGCCACAACAGCTCGAACGCCCTCTTCTCAGCATTGCTTGTTATCGTACCGAACTAGATGCTCAACGTCCTCAAACTATGAGGCTCGGCACGCCGAGAGCCGAGAGTTGATTGTCAGTTCAGGTTGCCGAGACCCGTTAGGAACCCGGACACGCTTTTGGTGGTGTACACCAGTCTTCTCATCGGTCGACTATTAGGCTTAGGCGTTCTGAGCCTTCTCGGCGGCCTTTGCTTGCGCTGCAGCAGCCATCGCCTTGGCCTTTGCGTCGGCATCATCGGCATTTGCTGAGCTGGACCCTGAGGCGCCACTGCCGCCAGCACCGTAGTCGAGTTTGAGCATGTCGTCTTCGCTGAGGAGCTCATCGATATCTGCCTTGGTGACTCCTGCGCCCTGCTCAGCTTTCTTGCGCTCTTCTTCGGCTTGTCTTTGCTTCTCTTCTTCGCCTTCCTTTTTCCGGCGCTCTTCCTCTTCTTCCTGCTTCTTGGCAGCTTCTTCGGCTTGCTTCTTGGCCTCTTCAGCGGCTTTTTCTTTCTCTTCGTCCGTTGGGCCGATGCTGCCTTCTTTGTTGTCGCCCTCGCAGCGCTCGCGCTCCAACTTCATATCCATGATCAAGCTGAGCTCAGGGCAGTAGTCGAAAATCTTTTTCCGTTGCGTGGGATTCTTCCACACCTTGTCGGAAATTCCCTGACCCCCATCCTTGACGTGATATCCCATGGGCTTCTCCATGTAGACGTCTTCCACAGCCAGAACACCCTTTCTGCCGTGGGCTACCTTTTCGCCCTGCATGACCCAGAGTCGCTTCCCGTACCATTCGTCCTCGGCTTCCGTGTCATTGTATCTCTCCTGAAATTGCAACACTCTCTTGATGGACGAGACTCGTCGAAGAGAGAGTCCGCCATTGCCGGAGAAGCGATCATCAGGGGTCCTGGGAGCGGGGGTTAGCAAGGGATGAGGGCCGCGAGGGAGAACTTTCGAGGGGGACCTACTTGGGTGCGCCAGCCCAACTCCAGTCGAGCCACTCGTTGAGACTGGTCGGTGAGTTAGAGCAGAGGATACTGTCGGATTCGAACTTGAGGATCCATTCCACGCCGGGGAGGAATTCTTCGTAAAAGCGAATGTCGGTCAACAGGCGAAAGACGTGTTCCTTGGTGTCAATCTCCCACGGCTCAGGGAGGACCATCAAGTCGAGCTTCCCGATAACCTGCTGGTGCTTGATGCCGTAGCTTCGGGCGACGCTGACAACGCTCTTGTTGGAGCCGATGAATAGGAATCTCCAATCGGGAGGCACCACCGAGGTCATGTGCAATAGCTGGGGTACGAGATGCGGAATAGGGCGCGGCTCGATGATCACTGCTAACTTGGATGCATTGTAGTTGGATCTCGGGTCTTTGCTCAGGTCGGGTTTCCAGTCAACCTTGATCTTGGGCATCTTCTGACGAGCCTCATCCAATCTCGACTTGAACTCGGCCTTGATCATAGGCTTGTAGCTCGGCAAGAGATGAGCAAACCACCATCTGCAAACGTGGTCAGCATGTCATTCGCCAGTGAGTCTTCAGGTAAGTTTGCGACGGGAAAGACGAACGTAATGGCCAGCGACGCAACTAGCAAAAGTCGTGTCTTCGTGATGGCGAATACGCCGGAAGAACCGTTCGTGGCCCCCATGTCGCCAAAATGTGAACGTCCAGGAACGGCGCAGCAAGAGCAGGGCGCAAACGAGAGAATGGGACGGCGTCAGGGACGGTGTCGCAGTGATGGATTAGAATCGGTTGTAAAAAGGAATCGAGGCAATCGGAAGCTGGAAATTCGAGAATTCTCTGACTTGACTGAAAGTTGCTGGTTAGAGGCGCGTCATGTCGACCACGTGTTGAAACCGCCGAGACAGAATGCCAATATGGACTTGGTTTCGTGTGTTGCGGCCGTTGTGGACAGGCGGAACTCTTGGTAGTGATTCAGCTTTCCAAGGGCGCTGGCGAGGAATTCTCAGGGACTCAAGACTCGGCCGGTGTGGTTGGTCTTGGAGTTGAGGTGCAGTTCAGTAAGCAGCAGCAAGAAGAGACAAGTGTCTTCCGTGGTCCAAGGGAGAGAAGAGAGGCTGCGAGGGAAAAACGAAAAACGAAATACAAGGGGTTCGCGGGCCGCTCGATAGTCCAGAGATAGAGAGGACGGCGAAGTTTGTTAGATGACGAATCGCGTCTGCAGGCTTGCGGAACGGCGCTCACTGGTGGCAGTGGGTGGTGGTTCACTACTATGTACATAGAGCAAGAGTCGAATGTCACCGAAATCCCACTCTTTCTACTAGGTGACTAGGTGACTAGGTGCAGGGTCCTGGAATGGATGCCGGGAAAGAGGGGGGAAACCTGGCTTCAATCAACCGATCCCAATGTCGATAGACGGTCGACCGCCCGCTGGAAGCAGAGGCTGGAAGCAGAAGCTGGAGCCAAAAGTGAGAGAGTTAGAGAGACGCTTGGCGGAAGATGTGGGAGGAAGTGGGGTCCTTACCTTACGCAGTAGCCTGTAGGTACCTATCCGTACGGATAGACTGAGGTGATAGAATTCGACGAGAGGTCAAGCCTGAGGTTGAAGTTACCTTGCCGCAGTCTGCAAGGCAAGCCCACACTGGAACAGCCAGCACATGGGCGCAGGGAGACGACGGAAGGTACAAGTGACGGGCAGGTACTCGGATGTACCATCTTCTACACGTCGACCTCCACTTCCATTTCCCATTTCCTTCTTCTTTGGGTGGTGGCATGCAGCCAGTGGAGGCAGGGAAGGGCTCCTCCCGCTAGACCCACATTGCCTGGGTTCCTCCCTTCCATTTGCACTGGAAGTCTGAAGTCCCGAAGTCAACCACACGATCTGGGAGAGACTGCACAGCTCCTTCCTCCTTTCTTCTTCACTGGCAACTGCAAGCTGCCATTCGGTCTCGTCTTCCGGCCGAGATGCTCGTCGTCTCGAACACGACAAGGTTCAAAGTGCATTACCGCCATCAACCCAACATATACGCAGTAGGTATCAACCTTGACTGCATCCATCCTACCATTGGGTTCTTTCGCCATCAAGGAGAGCTTCATCTCGTGTAGCACCTGTTCGCCAATCCTACCACCTATCGCCCAAACTTCTGCCGTGCTGAGAACCATCATTACTCGACTACACTGCATACCAAACAGCTAACCCCCATCTTCTGGCGCACGGCTCTCTGATAACTCCAGATGACGTACGGATACAGACGGCATGCCCGTCAGCGACAAGATCATTTCCGAGCACGCTGTCAGTCTTTGATTACTTGCAAAGAACGACCATGCTGTCACCCAGCCCAACGTACAATTTGATTACCAGATTGCGCAGGTTTATTATTTCCGCGATGTGGGGAAAAGGAACGCCGTGGTCAGCACTCGGGAGTGAGAGCGATATTTCTTCTTCTCGAGAGAACTGAGTCTCTTTTTTAATGAGTCGCCTCGTCCAAGACTCATTTGCGCCCGCCCCGCCCCTCGCGTTCCTCGCGTGCGACAACAAGAATGCGACCGCACAAGACAATTGTGTCAGGTGTAATATGAAAGTTGAACCTTGAAAACGAAGCCTATTTCATTCTCTTCGTTCTTGCTTGGACAAGGCTAGCCCCAAGTCCAAGTAAGCCCTGAGGATGCTCAGCAGGGACCATGGACCGAGCCCTGCATTGGGCTGTGCCGCTACAGACTTGAGAAAGCTTCCATGTTTGTCGGCAATAGGCAATCATAGGGATACTGCTTACAGGCTGACAGGGCATCGTACATGCATGCGTGCGGCGAAGCGGCGGAAAGCAGCACAGTCGCTCGCTTATCCACAACCTCTCGTCTCTAGTCTCTCACAGAATGTCACTGGTCCCAGTCCGATTGTCGTGCATGTGAGGAACAAGTTGACTGTGGCGGGTTAAGCTGACTGCCACCAGTACTATTGTAGGTATCACGGTGCATCCGTACGAGCACTGTACGCCGTTCCAACCGTTAACATGCTTTCGTTGCAGCAAAGTTTAAGTGGAAGTCAGTCGTCGTATCGATGCTTTTCGAAACTTGAGACATGGGGCTTGCGCGGTCTCCCTTGTGCGCCCTTACATAATATTCTCCGTGGCGAGGAGTTGAGATTAAATCGACGTTGGACGGTTGAATTCGGAAAGAGACTATCACGGAATCACCACTTGGTGCGAGGCTGCCCCTTTGCGACAGTTCGCTTGGCCATGAACTGGTTATTCACTAGCAACTGATCCGAAGCTGGCCTGCCTGCCTGCTTGGGTGCTACGGTATACTCTACAGCGTACCGACTACCGTCCCATTGGGCGCCTTGGGTCCAACCCTGGTCTTTAATGCAGCCGGATTATGGGTGTCACGGCCGGCGATACCGAGAGACCGGCTCGGGGTGGTGATTGTTGGTTGCGCTGCACGAAATAGCTGGGCATGGTACCCCCTAGGTTGGGGTCGCTTTGTTCGGGCATGGGGAACTCTTGGCTGGGATGAGGCTGTAAATATCCTCGAGCTCGGTTCTTGAATCAGGGCATCCGTAACATCATGGGACGAAAGTGCCCGTTTGTCCCGATTTTCTCATGGGTATGGAGTTCAGAGTACAGTTTAGCCGCTTCATTCTCGTGAGGGAAAGCTGACGCTGACTTGCGACTTGCTGTGGCGCTTCGTATCCAAGTATCGTCCTCGCTATTACATGCAGGTTAGAATGGGAGGGAGGGACGATGGTGGCGTGACGTTCCGTGTCCGTCCCTCCAGATTGCCTCTTGGGATGGAGAAAAGAGGGATGTATCGGTATATGTGTACTCATGGCCGGGCGAGCGCCTGATGGTGTGGCCTGGAGACAGACAGACTGACAGCTGGACGATCAGGCTCCCTGATTGCTTGCCAGGATTACCAGTCGCCATCGCCATCGCTATCGCACCCGACCATCGAATCGAACGTGCCCGGTGGAGGTGAGAGAAGGGAAAAGGTACTTGCAGGTACATGCCGGATACTCGACCCAAATTAGACACTGCAACAGTGGCTGGCTGCATTGCGCGGTTTGACGAGGGCTGGGCTACGGACGGCGACGTGGGCAGCAAGGGAAGCCGGCAAGATTCATCGACGCGGCCACCGGGGGGGGGCTCCAATGTTGCTTTTGGAGACGCTGGCCCCAAAGCAGCTCACTAGAACACCTCATTGGCTTCCCTTTGCTTGAAACTTCCACGACCCAGGGCCTGGCCTGTTGATTGGAATCCGCTGCCACATCTCTCCCAAAGGTCTCCAGTTTCTCGCGCTGGTCTTTTCTTCCCGTCCGGCCCCGGGCTGGCGTGGACACCTGCCAAGGAAAGGGGGAGAAAGGGTCCGGAGGAGTGGAGGGAAAGTGAATGAGCATGGAAGCAGCAGGCTACCTTACACTAGAGTCTACACTAGAGCAACAAGCAGCCTTCGCCCTGGGGATTGAAGGCAAAGGCAAGGGGCGTCCTGTCTTTTCATCAGATAATTCCATCCGTCCCTCGTTGCGTCCTTAGTCGCTGTCGAGGGAGGAGCTGCCACACACCGTATCACTATTCGTACCTTCCTCAGGGTAGTGGTGCATGTGTAAATCGTACCTTCCCATAGTTCCCCATCACTCCTTCCCTTCATCCTCTTGTCTTTTTCTTGTTTCCTCCCTCTCTCTCTCTCCTCTCCCCTTCACTTCTGAACCTCACATCTTCTGTTCAACGCACCCACCGAATTCACCATTCGGGCTACGACCAGTCGACCGCGCGAGTAGCTCGTCTATTCGACAAGAGTCAGCTGCTGTCGTCGTCGTCACCAGCCGCAGGACCGGACATGCCTTAATTCCCCTGCAACGCTACCGACGCATCCACGCCATCGACACTTGCGTAATCTCTGTGGACCGGACGGATCTGCGACTCGCGAGTAAACGCCCGCTCTCGAAGCCGCTCCAGGCTTGAGTAGCCTCTGCGACTTGAAATCTCCCTGAAATCGCTTTTCACTACAACCGCTCTCTGTCTCCATCTTCAACGCCCACCTAGGCCTTTTCTGCCATTTCGTGGCCTTCTCGTCCCAACCATGGCCTCGCTACCGCGGCCTGCTGTCAGCGGCGAGAAGAGCATGACAGACGTCTGGCAGCATACCAAGGCCCTGCTTCTCTCGGTTTGGGCCTTGACGAGCCGCCGCATGAGAGTCTTTGGCGCTTTCGTCCTCTTCCTGTAAGCCAATGACCCCAGAAACTCCTGCTTGGCTCCTTGTAATGTTGGCTCGTACTGACCGTATCGTATTAGTGGTTTCTCAATATGGCTATCGCTGCCCACCCTCAAGACGATGACCGTACCGCAAATCTCCCTTGAATACGCACATTCACCCTATAACCATTCCAAAGTCGCTCTTCTCGTCGAGAACCGCGCCAACCCGATTCTTGCGCCATTGATGCTGCACTTCATTTCCGTAGTGCCTCCCGACTGGCGCTTTCGCTTCATGGGCTCTGTTGAGTCCGTCAAGTCTATCAACTCGTCCGTTGCGATTCGTGAACAAGTCGCCGCCGGCAAGCTCGACCTGACGTACATTCCCTCCAACATGAGCACGGCTGGTCAGGAGATGATTAGTCGGTTCTTGACCAACCTGTGGCTGTACGAGACCGTCCTGCAGCCTGCCGAGTGGCTCCTCGTATTCCAGACCGACAGCATTCTCTGCGCCAACAGTAAGCAGAACATCAACGACTACCTCGAGTATGATTGGATTGGAGCCCCTTGGAACCCTGGCGGCAGGTGGGGTGGCAACGGTGGCCTCTCCATCCGTCGTGTCAGCGCCATGATTGATATCCTCCGAAACCAGAAGCGTGTTGACGGATCTGAACCTGAGGATGTCTGGCTCGCTGAGCGCCTTGCTCACCGACCCGGAAGCAAGGTCGCTAACGGAACTGTATCATTGACGTTCAGCGGTGAGATGCACTCGGGCGAAGGCACAAAGATCAACAAAGGAGGAGCGAACGCGACACTCGAGGCTGCGGCAGAGGGTGAACTTGTCTCAGGCATTGACGATTACCGCGAGGGCTTTTACGAGCCCATGGGCTATCACACCGGTGGTAGTGGTATCTGGCTGCACAGCGCCATCTGGGGTACTCCAGCTCTACGAAAACACATTTGGGATTACTGTCCCGAGGTCAAGCTTACGCTGGCTATGGACGCAGCCAAATACGTTCCCGGTAATTGTAAGGCCAAGTGGAAGAGAGGCCTTGATGGTGTTGAGGAGCTTGAGACGGAAAGCGATGGCGGAGAGAATGAAGAAGGCGCGACGGATCCGCAATACCCATTTGGCTCAGAGACCATTGATGGAAAGGAGTACCCGAACTTGCCGCCTAGCCTGATGGCATGGTGATAGCTCTCCAGCTGTCAAGAAGCCCTCTCATCGCAGCATCAATGCATCGCGATGGATCTGGGACGACATAACGGCACTGCCGTAAAGTCTGTTACATTACAGGAACTTGGTAGCATAGGATTTGGCTTGGCGTTTGGAGGTCACCTTGGTCCTGCAGGGAAATGGAACCAGATAGCTCAAGAAATGAGTCATGTAAGGCATAGGTCATTAACTTTGAACGAACCGTTGAGACAACTGCAACCGTGCGGTGGACAAGTGAATTCCGAAGTGTGCCGCCTGCCGGAGCATAGTTGCGTTAATTATCGATACTCATTGCTTCCTATGCCTTGAGTCTGTCAAATGACCCCCACGTCTGAAGCTTTGTGGCAAGGCACTCTACTTGAATTATGAGAGACGCAGTTTCAAACTTTCTTTGAGGTACGATCCCTGCAGGATGCGACTGCTCACTGCAATTAGACAAATGCAGTAAATACGCTGTGCGGCTTCCGCACAGAGTAGAGAAACGAGTAAGACGACGGATCATTACGGATACACATTGGTCTACTAATTATGTTGAAACTTGGGAATGTGAGAATGTTCATTCGAGTTTGATCAAATTCGTTATCCACACGCCATCTTGAGTCTGCCTCGGGCGGTGAGACGCCTACTCGAATGGAATACTGTGTTCCCGTCTCTCGAGTTCACCTTGAGCTTTTTCACGCTTTGAGTTTTTCGAGCTTTTCCGGGGCGTTTTCCCAGGGCTGCGGAGAAGTGGTTACGGCAAGTCACACGCGCACATACATCTACACATTACGGGAGTCCCTACAGAGGAGAGTTCGCAGGTGGCCCACGCGCATGGCACGGCCCGCATACCGGTCCTGCAAGCCACCTCAAGACAGACAGACGCCTCTGGAATGCTTCTGTAAAGGTATGGACAGAGTCAGAGGACGACCCGACTTCTTGACTTTGCTGTTTTGTTTGTTTGCTTATTTGCTTGAACAAGCGTAAATCCGGCTTATTCTACCGTCCAGGAAAAGCGGTGGACGAAAGGGTCTGGGGGGTCCTCGTTTTTCTGCTAGGCAGGAACAAAGTGTGACATGTGAGGATTGGAAGGATGACCTGGTGCACCTAGTTGACGTGGGGAAGAGCGGCAGCGGTTGAGAAGCTCGAGCAGGACGGTTCGTTTGTACGTATACGTAAGTGTGCCACGAAGATATCGACTCTAGTGTCGGGAGATAGTTTTGGGAGACTTCACAATTACCCGTCAGGTTTGACTCGACAATGATAGATACCAAGCCGACGGCAATCAAAACCACACGAAAAGACCCAGGCCAGGATAGAAACGTAGTTATATAATTATTACTCAGAGCACGTAACCACCGCTTCCGAGACATTGCCACTCGCGCACGCCGGTGCTCTCCTCCAGCTCGACGCACCACCACAGCACCTCCTTCGCCTTGTTTACCTGCCCACTCTCCTCGTGAGCCCGGGCCAGCGCGAACCAAGCCTCTGCGTTATTCCACGCGCTGCCGAGCTTCGTCAGGGAAGACAGGAGACCGTACGCGCGGTCTCGAGCGGCGAGGCGGTCAATGGTCGGCACCGAGGTCGCCTTGTACGGCGCCGGCAGCTTGTCGTCCGACTCGGACCTCTCTACCGACTTGACCGACGATGCCGTCGTCGCGGATTGGTGACCGCTTGTCTTGCCGGCGGGGCCTACGCCCAACCCGCCGGAGCCCAGACCCAGTGGTTCTGACGGGAGACCGTGCTGGGGGACCGCAATCTTTGGGAGATTGGGTGGCGGCAGCGAAAGGCTAGAGACGTTCTCCGGCACACTGAGTGTGGGAATGGCCGGCGGTGGCAGGACTTTCTCGCTGTAAATGTCGAGCAAAATATCGGACAGGCCGACGATGGCTGCTGGGTGATTGGGGTAATGGGTGAGTGCCATCTCGAAGTCTGACCGGGCCAAGTAGGGTGCGCCCTTTGCCAAAGAAAGATAGCCGAGCTATACAAGTTGTCAGTTGAGTCAATTTGCACATGATCAAGCCTATAGCTCACCTCCGCCCAAACGTCTCCGAGCAGCTCGTCGACGCCCTTCTTCTCGGCCCAGCTGTTGCCCCTCATTGACAGAGAGCCCGTAGGATCCTTGGCTACTTCAGCCTCGAGTATCCCTACAAGCTTCTGCGCTTCTGAGATGGCTCCCTTGCTGTCCTCAAACATGTTGGCTCGACGATAGAATCCCGCAATCATTAACCACACCTTGACCAGCAGCACAGCTCGTTGCCTCCGCTCCATGTCCTGGGGGAAGTGGATCAGCGGCAACGGGTTTGATATGGTGTAAGTGCCACTGGCAGAGATTTCGGAGAAATTTGTTGATCGTGATTTCTGGGAGGTGTAAGACTCCAAGTGATGGAGTGAACGTCCTCGTGAAACAGAAGATGCCATTGAAGCCTGACGGTTGCCTGTGAGAGGGAAGAACTCGGACTGCTGCAGTTCGTCGGCTGGGGTGAAGAAGACCTCTCCGTCAACCACCGTCGGTCCGTGTGGATTGGTGCCTGCGCTACTGACACTTGCTGTCCTCTTGCGACCGCTGCTGCTATCTCGCTTGCGCAAGCTGTGTCTTTTGCCCGACTCACTTCTCGATCGGCGCGTCAGACTGGAAAGACGCCGCGTTCGCGTCTCTGTTGGTGATCCGTTCTCTTGGGTGACTTGTATTGTCGGGGCTGCAACGCTGGCTTGTGTTTGTGAGGTCTGGGGGCGGGAAGGCGTGACTGTTTTCTCCGTTTCGGCTATACTGGGTTGCCGCGTTCGTGTAGAGCCGAAGAAGCTTC